ACCTGAGGTGCCACACCCAGGCCCCGCCTCCTTGTTCCTTACCCTCAGGATTATTCCTGCTTCAGGTCACAGGGTCACTGCTGTCACGTTCTACCTCTAGCTGGTCCAGACTGAGGCAAAGAGATAACGAGTGTGATTGCCCCTGGGGCTGGAGGCTGACCCGGTGCACTGGGCCCACCTTGCTAAAGTGCAGATGTGCGCTGTGGTCTCCAGGGAGGCCTCAGAGACGTGCACGAATGGGCCAGCTCCAGCCACAAGGACACTGAGAGTGATAGTATCAGCCAATTTTAATTAAAACACTGCACGCAGTATTAATCAGCATAGAAGATGGAAGTATCAAATAGAAGATAGAAATGTGGTGTTCTGTGAAGAAATTCAACAATTCTGTGTCGGTGAAAATAAACAAAAATTGCAAATGGCCAAACCTGATGGATGGGTGAAGTGTGAGAATATTGAGAGAACTCTGTGTTTACGATTATTCCGCTTCCTGAAGTTGCAAAGAAGACACCATGAATAATTTAGGAGTGTGTATATTCTTAAGTGAAACCCTACAAATAAAGGAAGATAATTCTACAAGGTAGAACAGTAACTGGCAGGGTACACCCCCTAGATGGGTCATCATCTGGGGAAAGTGAGCAGTGCTGTTGAGCGCGTGGAGGAATCTGAACCCACGCACTGGGCTGGGGTGATGTGAAACGGGTCGGCTGCTGTGGACTGCGGCTTGGCCCTTCCTAAAAAGGCAAGGCCAGAACCACCGTGTGACCTAGAAATTTTCCTTTTAGGTGTAAGTTTCGGTTGTGCAAGATTAGCAAGTTCTCGAAATTAGCAGTACAAGCCCACGCCTGTAGTCCACAGGATGTTACTGCAGGAGCATTTGTACGACGGTAGATCCCACAGCATGTGTCTCCACCACAAGGAGAAGACTTGCACTTAGCAAAATACCCTCCAGGTCCATCCATGTTGGTGCAATTTGCAGGATTTTGTTGTTGTTGCAGCTGAGTAGTATCGCACCGCGTGCACAGACGACACCTTCTCGCTCAGCCTCCCCTTGAATGCATTCAGGCTGTTGCCGTATCTTAGCTCTTGCAGGAGGTGCTGCAGTGAACACATTTTTGCAGAGCATTTTTATGTCTTGGGGTAAAAACCTATCCGAGAGGTAGCGGATCCTATGATACTTCTACTCTTCAGGGTTTTTTTAATATATGTTTTACATCAGTCCTCATTTTTGTACAGTGCATGCTTTCTCCTCCCAGGTGTAGCCCCTGTGAAAAACCCACCCCCCGTTCACCCGGGTCCCATCACCATAGTCCCTTGTGCTCTTCTGTTTTGATCCTTCTTCCTTCTCCCCCGTGCAGAGTGTCTCTGATTTATAGTTGCCTGTTGATTTTGATTTTTAATGTATTATAATAACTTTCTTGTTCTTGATCCCTTATGTGGTTCCTCTACATTCCTCCTGTACGTGAAACCATCTGATATTTCTCTTTTTCTTTCTGGCTTGTGTCACTGAGCATGATCCCTTCCAGCTCCATCCATGTTGCTGTGACTGGCATGCCCCAGAATAGGTGACTGGATCAAGAAGATGTGGTCTGCATACACAATGGACTATGACTCAGCAATCAACAAAGACATGCTCTTACATGTTCTGAGGACCCTCCATACACTTCCCAGCAGTGACGGTGCCAGTCTGCCATCCTTACCAGCAATGTTTAGGTTTCCCGCTTGTGCCTGCGGGGATAACGTGCTGCGATTTCCTTGTGCATTTCCCTGATAATCGAGGGTGAGTGTGTTTCCATGTGTTCTTTGCTGAAGTATGTATTCGACAGTCTGCCCTTTTTTTTTTAAGATTTATTTATTTATTTTATTATTTATATAAGCACGGGTATAGTCCGAAACGCGGGAGGGTGAGAGAATTCACCAGAGCCAGAGCAGGGAACAAAACAGGCAGACGGACGAAGTACACTGCTAAGGGGAGCAGTAGGCGGCAGGAGAGGTCTGCGCCATGTGGGACCCTCCTCTGGTGGCCGGGGAGCAGCCGGGATCGAACCGGCGCTGCAGAGGCTGCGGGCAGCTTCGCAAACCAGCGTTCAACCGCTGCACCACCGGGGAGACCCTGCCCATTTTTTTTTTTTTAGATTTATTTATTTATGTGTACGAGACCTGGGGTACAGGCCAGAGGTGTGGGGGCGGGTGAGAGAATTCACCAGAGAGAGCAGGGAACAGAACAGGCAGCCTGACCCAAGTACACTGCTGAGGAGAGCAGTGGGCGAGTCAGGAGAGGTCTGCTGTGCCATGTGGGTAGCTCCCTGGCCAGGGATTGAACTCGTGCTGCAGAGGCTGCGGACAACTTCATAGGTTGTGTCTTAACCCCTTGCACCACCATGGAGGCCCCACTCTGCCTATTTTTAACCTGGTTTTCGTGACTGGCGGATGTTGAGTTGTTAGTTCTTTATAATTTTAAATATTAAATCCTTCTCAGAAGTGATTGGCGAACACCTGCCTCTACCAGGCTGCCTTTAAGATGGGAGGGTGGAAAATTGGCTGTGGGTGAAGGTCACTGTGGAGTGTGCATGGGTGTCCCATCACATGCATCACATGTTGTCAGTGACGTCACTGGAATCACATTTTATCCAAAAGAGAAAAAAAAATCAGAAATGAAATTACAAATAATCCAACCCCTCTGCCAATGCGTTCATAGCACGACTCATCACGACAGTGACGGCAGCTCCAGGCCCTCAGATGGCGAGAAGGGATGCAAGGAAACGCACCAAACCGGCAATTGTCCCCAGCTAGCACTTGTGCCCAAGGTGCGAACGGAGCACTCGCGGCAGACGAAGGGTCGAAGGGGCAGAGGCAGGAGCATGCGAAGAGGGAGAGCTTTGGGCGATGAGATGGACAGAGGGGCTGAGACTCCGGGAAGTCAGGGAGGAAGTGGGTGGAGAAGCTCTGTGACTAGGCCAGGAATGAGGGGCGGCTGCCCTGTGGTCAGCACCAGATTACAACATCCCCCAGTTTTCTGCTCCCCTTGGTCTTCTTCCTGTGAGGGCCCTGCTGGCACCCCAAGTCAGCAAGGCTCCTGGAAGAGTCCCCACCCCCTCCCCCTCCTAGCTCACATGCCAGGAACACCCAACCTGCCTGCCCTCCTTCCAGGCCTGGCCCACCCACAGCCACAGCTGAGCTTCAGGCACCCCCACCTCAGCCTCCACCTGGGCCTCCTGCTGCAGGGCCCACTTCCTCTTGAGGTGCTTTGTCTCGTCGGCAACAAATTTATCTACTGCCGGTGATTCTTGCACAAGCCCTCACAGGCCTCTTCCTTCTCCAGTAAGATCCAAGAATCTCATCTGATGTTGCTTGTGGCTGATGGTCCAGCTGAGTGAGTCAGAACAGCCCCAGGAAAGCAGCTCCTCGAACAACCCACACTGACCCCAGGCGACCCCACCCCCACATCCTGCCATCACCCCACTTGGGCATCTCAGGGGCTGCTCTCCGAGTATTTCACCACTGCAGTGACTTTCCAAACCACACAGACCATGAAAATGAGACTCTTCTTGCCTTCCCCCCCACACAGCTTGAAGGGTTTGTGCTGTAGGATTCATATAGGGGTTACGTGAAAATTCTAATGAACCATCTAGGATACTGATCGCTCGTGATTAGGGTTGGAGTAATGTTGGGATTCTATCACTCTGTCATCCCCACGACATCCGACGTCCATTCTCTTCACGGGAGGCCTTCTCCATCAGCCATCAGCTCGCTAGCACCGCAACTTAAGATGACCTGTTACCTGAAAGACACCATCCAGGTGTGCTCCCAGGGCGGCCAGCCCTGTGAGAGCAGGCCCAGCCACCTGATGGCCCAGTTCTTAGGATGCTCTGCTTCTTGGCAGAGGATGCTGTCCCCCCCACACCTGCGCCGACCCTGTCTGCCCCTGGTCTCCCCTTCTCTTGAAGGTCCCGCACCCCGTGACTCAGATGCTGGATGTCCAGGTATTACTCATGCTCACTGCCCTCGCTTTTCCTGCCAATTTCTAAAACTGTTGCCAGTTATCAACCATACGCGCATGTTTCTGTCGTCACAACCAGAGGTGGTGAGTCTAGGGAAGGGGCCGCCAGCCTCCCCAGGGACTCTCTGAACACGTCACTGCTCAGGGACGTTGGAAGTCTGGGGAAGGAATCAAAGACGAAAACTTGCATCTAGAGAAGCTCGGGAGAGGAAGAGCTTTCCAACTCCACGCAGCATCTATAAAGGCTGAAGGAGGCCAGGGCACTCGCCACTGTACTCACAGGGTGGCGGCATCTGAAGATATACTTAAAAAATGGTAAGAAACACATGCAATTTGCAGCAACTTGGATGGAGCTGGAAGGGATCATGCTCAGCGAAATAAGCCAGAAAGAAAAAGAAAAATACCGGAGGGTCTCACTCATAGCAGGAATCTAGAAAACCTAAATAATGGACCAGGAAAATGAATAACTATAGAAAGTGAAAATCAAAATCAACAAAATACTATGAACCAGAGACACTCTATGGGGGTTGGGGGAGGGAGGGGAGGGATTGGGGTCAAAATAAGGGGGTTGCAATTGTATGGGGAATATAAAAATAAAATTTATTTAAAAAAAATGGTAAGCAATGGGCAGAAGGAAATTAGAACTGAAAGTGATCTGACTCCAGGCCCCGCCCAGTGTCCTTGACCTCCTCCTCTGGGTCTGGGTTGCCTGCTGGGCCTGGGTTTGCCAAAAAGGGAAGGAGAGCCTGCGGACTTGGGGAGACTCACAGATCCCCGGTGGCCTGTCCTCAGGGAAAGAAGAGAGAGACCCTGCAGAGGGTTGCTCCCTACCTGTGAGGGCCCAGGAGAGGAACCCTGCCTGTCATTCGCATGGAGAAGTAGTCAAGACCCCTGATCTGTCTGCCCTGCTGGGCTCACATCGTCTGCACCGCTGAGGGCCATGGGAGGCAGCACCCCAACCCCCACCCTCATGGCCCTTCTCTGCCTGGGTGAGCTTCAGAGAATGAGGAGGGTTGGGTCCCCTCTCCCAGGTCTGAGACCCCAGGACTTGGGGGCTTCGTGGGGGCAGCACGCTGGGGAGAGGAGATGTGCTCAGCCCTGGATCTAAGCAGCCCTCAGGGCCCAGCCAGGCCTGGAGTTCCCCTGTGCGGGGGGATGCATCTCACAGGCCTCTCTTCTAGGACTGTGTCAGGGCCCACGGGACCAGGTCCAGGCAGGTGAGTGCTCCCCACACCTCCTGCCTCAGCCCAGGGCCCCCGGACAGTGGGGGGAGCACAGTGGTGTGGGCGATGGGACCTGCCTGGAGGGGCTGAGTGACGGCTGGGGAAACTGAGGGAGAGGCAGCCCGACACTCACCGGACTCCTTTGCAGGGACCCTCCCCAAACCCGCCATCTGGGCCGACCCAGGCCCCGTGGTCCCCGTGGGGAGCCCTGTGACCCTCTGGTGTCAGGGGTCTCAGCAGGCGCAGGTCTACCATCTGTACAAAGAGAGGGTCTCTGGAGCCGTGGAGACGGAGCGCCCACACAGCTCCAGCGACAGGGTCGGCTTCCACAGGGAACACACAAGTGCGCACGATGCGGGACGATACCAGTGCGTCTACCGCAGCCCCAGCGCCGCCTCCGAAAACAGCACCAGCGCCTCCTCCGAGAGGAGTGACCCCCTCAACCTGGTGGTGACCGGTAAGTGGGGAAACTGGGTCCCCTCCCGCTGGGGCTCCCCCTCACGGGCAGAGGGAAGAAGAGCGGGCTCAGGGGACCTCACCCTCTGTCCTCACTGGGTATTGGGGTGATGGTCCCCCTGTAACACACACACTTCTCCCTCAGGAGTGTTGCCCCGACCCTCCCTCTCAGCCCAGCCCAGCCCTGTGGTGGCCGCAGGAGGGAACGTGACCCTCGCCTGCAGCTCACAGAACATATCGGGCACTTTCCATCTGCTGAAGGAGGGAGACTCAGACCCGCCCCGACAAAGAAACTCAAGTTTTCTCCAGGGGAGACACCAGGCCCTCTTCCCCGTGGGCCCCTCGAGCCCCTCCCACGGGGGCACCTACAGATGTTACTATAATCCCCACTCCTACCCCCTCATGTGGTCCGCGCCCAGCGCCCTTCTGCGTCTCCAGGTCACAGGTGAGGCCGCACCTCGTCACGTCCCTCCAGGCCCAGGGACTGGCTAAGCCCGTGTCCCGGGGAGCCGGGGGTGACGTGGGCCAGTGACGTGGACTCCTGGGTCCAGATCACAGCGCAGGGGCGTGGGAGGGACAGTGAGAACTCAGCGCTGCCCAGTGGGCAATGTGGGGTGACCCTCAGTGCCACTGTCCCCGTGTCCCCAGGAGCGTACGGGGAGCCCTCCCTGTCGGCGCAGCCGGGCCCCCTGGTGCTGTCTGGACACAGCCTGACCCTGCGGTGCGGCTCGGGGACGGGCTTTGGCAGGTTCGCTCTGACCAAGGACGAGGGGCACAGGGGCCCCCAGCGTCTGGACGGGCAGCACAGCCCCGACTTCCCCCTGGGCCCTGTCGCCCACACCCACGGGGGCCAGTACAGGTGCTACGGGGGACACAACCTCTCCCACGTGTGGTCGGCCCCCAGCGCCCCCCTGGACATCCTGATTGCAGGTGAGGAGCCGCCTTGTGTCCCGATGGGCTGTTGAGGCCTGGGCCCAGGTCACCTTGGGGTGGCGTGTCCAGGGGGAGGGTCCTGGCAGAGGCCGAGATGGACAGTGGTCCAGGGAGCACGAGCGAGAAAGGGGGGTGAGGGGCACAGACATAGAGAGACCCACACAGGAGTGGAGGACCGGGCGTCCCAGAGGCCCCGGAGGACAGGGGCCCTCGGCGCAAGGTCAGGGGTGTGGGGTTGGGGGGTCTCTAACACCAAACCTCCCCCCAGGAATGGACACGAAACCCTCCCTCTCAGCCCAGCCTGGGCCCACCGTGTCCCCGGGGGAGGACGTGACCCTGCAGTGTCGCTCTGACGCCCGCTCGGACACCTTCTACCTCTCCAAGGAGGGGTCGCCTGCGTCCCCCCAGCGCCTGCGTCTGCAGGACACAGCTGCCCCCTCTCAGGCCCTCTTCACCTTCAGGGCTGTGACCTCAGCCCACGGGGGCACCTACAGGTGCTACAGCTCACACAGCGCCTCCCCCTTCCTGCTGTCACACCCCAGTGACCCCCTGCGGCTGCAGGTCTCAGGTGAGGAGCCCCCACCCCATGTCCGTGGAGGGTCCAGACCCGTAGTCTCAGCCTTTTCCAGTAGCCTCTGGAGCTTTGGAAGGAGACGCATCTGGGAGGGGAACCCCGGGCATGGAGCCACAGAGGGTGGGAAAGACAGTGACTCTCACCCCCTCCTGCCTTACACCCCCCCCCCCAGGGGCTGGTATGTACAGGGGGAGAGGACGAGGGAGAGGAGCAGCCACAGAGGAGGGAGTAGAGGCAGGAGACTCAGAGCCCCGCCCTGTCCTGTCCCTGTCCAGCATCATGAGTTTGAAGCCCCGCAGCCTCGGGACAAACTCACGCTGTGGGCAGCAGAGGCCTCTCGGCACAAGGAGACAGGAGGAGTGACCCTATCCCGGGCGGGGTCCCAGCTTCTCCTGTTCACATTCCCTCTCACAGAAGGGTGTTCCCACACAGGCTGGGCATGGAGGTGGCACTTTTGGAGGGTGTGACGCATCATTATTGGGGTCACGGTGCCTGCTGGGCGCTGTGGAGGACCCGACAACAGCCCAGCTGACATGGGACAGCGCAGGCGTGTCAGCACTATTTGGTGCTGAGCCGGGGTCCTGGTCCTTTGCATGTGTGGATCAGCCCACGCGGGAGCAGGAGGGGCTCACTCAGGTCAGGGGCTGTGGTCGCCCCAGGAGGCATGAGCGGAGCAGGAATTGGCTGAACCTTCTGGCACTGAGCTCGTTGTTAAAACTTATCCATATCGGGAATCATTGTCCTCTCATCCAAGTCAAGTGCATCCTGGATGTCTAGACTCAGTAAGCTCTGAATTTCCAAGTCTGTGACTTCCTGTGAAAGTAGGTCCAGAAGTTCCATCCGGGGTCTTCGGTTCCCTGCAGTCACGTCCGGTTTCTAGGAACAGTGGTTGTCATTGTCAGGGGGAGGAGCAAGCAGGGCTCCCCCTGGATTTCCATGTGACCAGTTGCAGCCAGATCAGCTCCCCCTCCAGCCATCCTCCATGAGTCCTGCGCGGGGTCAGGACCCACCTCAGTGTCACCTGGTGTTTCCCGCTATTCCTGTTGCCAGTTACCAGCTTGTCAGATTTGTCAGGCAGACACCGGGGTCTGGTGTGTTGTGCTCTGACCTTTGTGTGTCTTTCTCCCCAGGCCCAGCCCGGCCCCCCGGGGACTACACGCTGGGGAACCTCATCCGCCTGGGCGTGGCCGCCTTCCTCCTCCTGGTCCTGGGGGTCCTGCTCTTAGAGGCTCTTCACAGCCACAGGAGGGCCCGAGATGTGGCAGGAGGTGGGCCCAGAGGACCCACAGGCGGATCCATGAATTTTTATGACCTTTGAACGACTAAATGAACTGCACTGAAAATTGAAATCATCAAACAAAATCAACTCTAGTCCAGCATATTTCTCTCTTCGGTTATTCAAAGAAGTATGGAAGATAAACCCGAACCTTTTTAAAAGAATTAGCCCACTTCTTTAAGCTTTGTGCTTAGATTTTGTACAGGTCTATGTGCTGGACTCTGTACAAGTTCGGTTACTCCATGAAAGGTCTGTCTGCTTTTCCCCGTCACCCAGCGGCCCTTTTCAGAGGCAAACACCACGGTGGCTTCTTATTCTCCTCACAGAAAGAGGATCACAGGGCAGAGGCATCTAGGATCCAGGAGGACATTCCTGAGGACCCTCTCCCTCCCCTGGTTTCCACACACGTGCTGTCCTACTAGACACTTCACTATTTTTACCTCATGAGATAGTTTATAGCAGCGTCTGAAGGGGAGCTTGTGTTTCTCTCCATCCAGTCACGCTGTCAACACACTAGTTTATCTGACCACGGTCCTCTGTGGCCAACATGCTGCAGCTCATTATGATGACTTTGGGGGTGCATCTACTCTTCCCCCTGTGCACACATCCCTCTCTCCCCCACCAACCACCTGAGCCAGTGCCCGCCCACGCCTCCACCCCTTCTTCCTCCCACTGTCCCTCGGGAACCAGCACATTTTTTTCACTATGGACAAGATTTTTTTTTTTTGCTGTCATTTGAGAGTGTGCGTTTTGTCTCTTTGCTTGTTTTGTCATTCTGTTTCGCAGTTCGGGTAGATCTCCCGTATGACTTTCCCATCTGACTTACTCACTTAGTGCAGCGCTGCCAGCTCCATCCGTTCTGTTCCTAAAGGCGCTGCTTCATCTGCTTAATAGCTGCGTCATATGCCGCTGAGCACTTCCCCGCCACGTCTGTAGCCATCAGGCTGTTGGCGGGAGTCACGGTGGGTCACGCCTTGGCCTTTCCAGCAGCTGCTCTGGACTTCAGAGTGCGTGAGCCTGTTTGTAGCGGTTTTTCTCTTTGGCAAATGATGGAATTTCCATTTTTACTTCCTTAAGAACTTTCCATCTGGTTCCCATGGAGGTGGCAGCTCTTGCATCCCCGTCTTCCGTCTCTGACTGTGTCTCTCCCTCAGCTCTCGGGGCTGTCCCTGGGGTCTTTACTGTGGTTCCTGCCAGGAGGGGCCTCAGACCTGGGGCAAGCTTTCTGGCCTCAGCACCACACTTCGGGCTGAGCCTGGCATTCACTGCCATATTTGGAGTTCTATTAGAAACTATTATTTGAATCTTTCTCTCTCTCTCCCCCCCCCACTCCAATTCCATTTAAAATCCTTCACACTAAAGAAATAAACGAAAATTGCCTATCTAGGCATCTGCCCATTTTGGATTGGGGTGTATATTAGGGATTAGCCCATATGTGCTGGGATCTATCGTCCACCATTCTGCAGGCTCCTCTTTATCTCCGTGATTCTCTTTGAGGTTCAGAAAGTTTCTGGTTTACTTCATCCTGCTGGTTTATCTGCTCCCCTTGCCCTTGCTGCTGGGCTGTGTCCCTGGGGCTGGCTCTGGGCTGTCCTGGAGGGTGTCGCCATGTTTACTTTGAAGTGTTTTATGGTTTCGTTCTTACATCTTTAATCCACTTTGAATATATTATTGTGTGTGGATTCATCTTACAGATGTTTTTCTTCGTCAAACAAACCCACACTTGGTCATAGGCCAGTAAGAAAACTTAAAGGTGACCAAGAGACAAAAATCAGCTTCCAATCTAGCAAATAAACAATGAGGTAACATTGACAAATGGGAAAGAAATCTGACCATGAATGTGCTCAGTTCACTCGGTGAGTGGGTTGTAGACAAACAATGATTTAAAGGACAATTTCCCTAAACTGCTCAGGTTCTAACCCACTGGCTGTCCCATAAATTTTAGGCCAAAGTCCCAGGAAGGGAGGGGCGTCAGCCCCAGGGGGCAGGAGTGACTCCCCAGGATGGTGAGGGTGGAGCTGCTGCAAGAAAAGAAGCCATGAGGGACTGTGAACAGAGAAGCCACACTCAGGCAGGAGAGGCCTGGTCTCCCCTGTGTCCCTGAGTGTCCCCTTGGGCAGTCGTCTGTGACCTGGCCTGACACTCAGGTGGATGGTAACAAGGGCCTCGTGACCTCCGCTCTGCAGGCAGCAGGGTCCCTCCCTGAGCAACTCCAGGGACTGGGGACCCTGTCCAGGGTGAGACCACAGGATGTGCTGATGGACGGGCAAAGGGTGAGGACACCCAGGGGAGGCTCTGAGGGAGGGCGTGCCCTGGGTCTCCCTTCCCAGGAAGGGCCATCTCAGGAGACACCAGTTCTATTTGCTGTTCCCATGAACCAGAGCTGGGCCCTGAGGACAGTTCTGTAACAGGGTGGTCCCAGGAAAGGGGGAGGTTCCAGGTTCCCTGCCCCACCCAAGGGAGGGTGGAGCTGAGCAGGGAGAGATGAAGCTGCAGAGCAGACTGAGGAAGGAAGCAGGATGGAGCCAAAAGGAGACCTGGAGGAGGCGCATGGAGCCTAGAGACACGTGAAGAAACTGCGCTTGTCTATTGGTCCGATGGGGTGACACAGATGTGGGTGAGACCTGTGGGGAGGTGACAGTGGCAGCTTTTATCTTGATTTTGCTCTTTTCCTTCCGGCTTGTCTGGTTGTTTCTGACCCTTTTCTGTGGGTCCCCACTGGAAGATGCTTTAGACTTGTGGCAGGCTTTGGGCCTTGCTCTGGGCCAATGCCATCGGATGGAGTTTTACCCACGAGGTGACGGGCAACTTTGGGTGCTTGATTTAGAAACTAGATACTTTGCCTTTCCTGTATTGTTTCCTAATTGTATTAAAGTTCCTTCCCATTAAAAGTCTCATGTTTTGTGTTGATGCGGCGGATGGCAGAAGCTATTTAGAGCAGGCAGGTTTGCGGGGTGTGGTGTGCAGCTCTCCCTGTCCTGTAACAGATTTGGCGCCCAACGTGATTTAGGACAGAGCCATGCATGATTAGTCAGCCCCATGGGGAACTTGGGCTTCCCTTGGCACTGGCTACATAAGCGCAAATGTGATTTTTGGTTTCTCTGGTGTGTTTGTATCATATGTAGATTTGCTGTTGAAAGACCGGCTTGGGCTTTGTGAAGATCTGTGTGTCTCTATGTAATTTGTTGGTAGTGACTTGCTAAGACATTTGATTTTGTGGAAATTGTTCTGTGCAACAGTTTTACTCAAGATTAGGCTGTACATTGGACCGTGTGGCCAGATCAAAGATGGTATCTGAGACCACTTGGCGGGCTCTTGTAAAATTCAGAGGTTCTTGTTGCTAGGACTTTGGAACTTTTTTTTTCTTTTTGTAATCTCTGCTGTCTCATTAGCATTTCTAAAGGCAATAATGATTCTTCAGTGCTATATTCCTTTGACTTTGACTACTTCCTGACCTCTGCCTGAGGGGTTTTGCAAGTCAACTGTGGAGCAGTGGTGTTTAAATTAGCAAATGTATGCCTGGGTGTTAACAAAAGTTAACTGGTAATGCTGGTAGTCTTGATGGATTCTTGGAGATAACGTGAATTTTTGCAAAGTCTGTATCAGAAAAATTAACAAGATTTAGTCTGAGTATGAAAGGATTTGCTGCTGTGAATTTTGTCTACACAATTTGTTTTGGGCATGTTTGCCATTTTGAATCCTGGATTTGTTCAATTACTAGTGTAAGACAAGATTCTAAGTTTCTGCTTCCTACTGAGGAAGGTCAGTTGTGGAAAGCACTCTTTAGGGTGCATCGTGTAACTGTACCAGGTTTTCATGCCTGTGTTGTTGTTGTCGCTCCCTAGTGGGGGGAGGTGTCATCTGTGCTTAGATGTTGAATCTGCTCTTTCAGCTTCTGTCCCAGAGTGGCTAACAGAAGTAAGGAGATGACTCCTTTTAATTGAAAGTTAATTAGTGATATTTTGATTTTGTTTTTCAGGTTCTATTCCAGGAAACCCACGGACTGCCTGCTTGGTGGCTAACAAGAGATGACTCCTTTTACTTAAAAGTGAACCGTTATTTTGCTCTTTCAGTTGCTGTGCAGTATACCCCAGGATTGACTTCTAATCAAAAGTCTTCAACACTAAAAACCCTAACGTGATAAACAAGGTCATGTAACTCTTGTGATTAATAAAACTTTTCCTTCCTATTTCCAAAGTCTTAGGTTTGTAGGATGACAACTGGAAACTGTTTTCTGCCAGCAACACTCCACATTTTTTTTTGGACTTTGACCCTTTTTTCTGAGCCGATGGAGTAAAACTGCAGTTATATAAGATATTCCACATGGCATAACTAAAAAAAAAACTGTCATTGTCTATATGTTGTATGTCTGTATGTCCTTCTGTCTGTCTTGGCCTCGAGAGGTTGAAAAATTGGTAGACACGGTGCGCATAGACGTTGAAAAAAAAAGTCTCCAGTTATGAGAAAAACACAAAGGTTATGGTTTCATTGTTAACATTGTACTATTGAACTAAGCCGCTGCCTTCATAGAGATTGAACATTGTTGTTTCTGTTATTTTTCCTGATATTTATGGCAAAGCTGCCCAGAAATCTAAATTCAAGCACAAATTTGGTAGCCTGTCATTTGGCTGATGCAAGGAAATTTTGTGGAACCTCAGTAGAGCTCCTGGGACACTCCACAAAGTTTCTCCCTTTCCTCCTGGGAAAGGCGTTAGATGAATTTGTCCTATTTGGCTTATCCAATGAAGTAACACTGGAAGGGAAGCATCGTCACTTGGGAAAATGGTAAAACTTTGGCATGTACAGAAATGTTAACACTGGTTTTCTAAAATGTGTATAAAACCTCTCAGTACCTGATCTGCATGTAAATTCTCAATGGGGATTGTCACCTTGTACTATTGTACACTTCGATTATTTATTGACAGAAATTGTTCTGAAAAATAGGGAGAAAAGACCTCAACAGATTCCTATTGATGGAACTGTTGAGAGTAC